AAAGATACTATATAAGTAAAATATACAGAATGTCAGATGGTGAGACATGCCTAAAGGAGAGGGGAAGAAAGCAAGAAAACAGAGATGAGGAGCCAACAAAGAAGGATGGGGTTATAGACAGGGGGTCAGGGAAGGCCTCGCTGAAAAGACACTGGAGCAGAGACCCAAAGATGAGGGAACAAGCCAGGAAGATATTTGGGAAAAATGTTCCAGAAAGAGAAATGTGAAGTGCAAGATCCCTGAGGTGGGAGAGAGTACCTGTCATGATGGAAGAAGGTCAGCATGCCTCAGCAGGGGGAGCCAGTGAGACCAAGCGGGGGTGGTGGGGGGGGGAAGGACAGAGGTGAGATACCTGGGCAGATCCTTGAGCCAAACGAGGACTTTGGCTTTTCCTCTGAGTGAGGTGGGAGCCAAGAGGGCAGAGGGACGTGATCAGAGTTAGATATTAAAAGGATCGTGGAAAGTGATAAGAAATATCTTAATAATTACACATAAAATAATTGTCTTGCATTAATATATCAATTACTTTCTTAATTATATACTTTATATTTATTTAAATTTATATTTAAAATATGTATAAATTTATATAAATATAAAACTAATTCTTTATTAAAGTTTATAAGTAGGGAATTCCATGGCGGTCCAGTAGTTAGGACTCCGTGCCTTCACTGATGAGGGCCTGGGTTCGATCCCTGGTTGGGGAACTAAGATCCCACAAGCCGCACAGTGTGGCTAAATAAATAAAATCATGTAGTAAGTTATGATAAAATTCAGAAAAAGGTTTAACTATGTGCCACGCACTACGGCTTCTTGCATATTAATAATACCTCAATTCTCACGACCACCACTGTATTATTACTCCATTTTCCAGATAAAGAAACTGAGTCACAGAGGGGTTAAGCAGCTTACCCAAGTGGGGAAGAAAGTGGGGAAGCGGTGATCACATCCAAGCAGGCTCCCTCCCGGGTCACTTGTTCTTAACCTCCAGCCCTGATTGCTCAGCAAACTGGCGAGGGCAAGGGGGGATTCGGGAGCCAGGGAGAAGGTGACTGCAATAGTGTAGGACCAGGGTGGCGGCAGGCGAGGTGGTTTGGGGCCTGGAAGCGGTCAGAGCTCATTAAGGGGTGTTTATAACCCTGCCCCTGCCCCCAATTTAACACCGCACCTCCTCTGGCAGGGCTTTCTGGTCAGCGTCCTCTACTGCTTCATCAACAAGGAGGTAGGGAGAGCCCCGGCCCGCCGCCCACGCCCTCTGCCGGCCGCGCAGGGAATGGCGCGCCCCGCGCCGCCTCTGAGCGCTGTCCCGTTGCAGGTGCAGTCGGAGATCCGGCGGGGCTGGCACCAATGCCGCCTGCGCCACAGACTCGGCGAAGAGCCGTGCCAACCCCCCGAGCGCGCCTTCCGGACCCTGCCCTCGGGTTCCGGCCCCGGCCAGGTCGCCGCCGGCCGCGCTCTGTGCTCGAGGACACTCCCAGGTCCTGGGGGTGAGGCCAGCCATGTCTTAGAAAGTTACTGCTAGGCTGCGGGATTCTTGGGTCCATTCAATTAGCACGTATTTACTGAGCGCTTGCTGTGTACCAGGCCTGGTGTGGAGAGCGCTGGGGAAATGGGGAGGCGCGGGGGCGGGGGCGGAGGGGAAGGAAACAGAAGACAAGGTCCCTATTCTCCTAGAAATCACAACTGAGTGGGGAAACAGACCGTGAGGATAAACCAAGTTACATATACGCTGCGGAACGGCTTATAAAGAAAAGTTAGAAGGGGACCTAGTGTGGTCTGGGGCATCTCTGAGGAAGTGACATTTAAGCCATGCCTGAAAGAGGTGAAGGAGACACCTTTGGAAAGAATTCGCGGCGAGATTCTAGACAGAAGGAAGCACATCTGCGAAGGCCCTGGGGCGGGAAGGAGCTTGGCGGTGTCTGAGGAACAGAGAGGAGGCCTGCGTGTCTGGAGTGGGGTGAGTCAGAGCCAACAGATGGAGAGAGAAGTGGGACAGGGCAGAAGAGTGGGAATTTTATTTCAGGTGCACTGAAGGTTCTTTGGAGCGGCTCCTAATGGAGTGGGCTAAGTTTTTTAAACAGATCCCTCTGTCTGCCCTCTGGGGCAACAGATTATTAGGGGCAAGGGTGGCAGCTGGGAGCCCAGGGAGGAGGCTAATGCAGGTGGGAGGTGATGTTGGCTGGACCAGGGTGGTGGCCACATAGGGTGTGAAACAGTTAGATTCTAGAGCTGTTTTAAAGGTAGAACTGAGAGGACTTGCCGAGGAAGGAGAGAAGCCAGGGAAGACTTCTCGTTTGGGGTTGGAGAGAGGAAAGAGGGAGATGGGGTTCAGGGTGGGGAGAACCAATAGTGCTCTTTGGACATGTTAAGCTGGGAATAAGGGTCTGGAGCTCACAGGAGAGGTCAGAGTGAGAGACAGAAATACGAGTGGCACTGGGGTCCAGAGAGGAGGATTCTGTGTGTAGATATCAACATGGGCAATTCAGGGCAGGTGTCAGAGCTGAAACCTACATCCAGGGAGGCCAAGACCACTGCTAGCTGGAGTGTGTGGACACACATGTATACCCTTCTTGGTGGCTCCTGGGAACTAGGAGAATTAGGAGGAAAGCCAGCAGTCTCACTGTCGCTGGACCACCTGTACACATGCAAGACCCTCACTCCTAAATCCCTCCCCCACATAGACACACACTTAGATTCAGTTGGTACCTGGGTGTTGTCCATTCTTTTCCTTGGGGTCCCCAGCTCCCTGGACAGATATGGCCCATGGTCGCTGAACTCAGAGTCCTTTCAAGCATGTGGTCCTGCTGGGCCCCTCTTGTGGGTTCTGGGAAGGTGGGGGCCTAGGGCTGGGCCCTTGTAAATAAAGCATGAGAAACAGTTGTTTTTTGTGGGGGTGGGGGGTGGGAAAATCTTCTTGGCCAGGCCATAAGGGAAATGACAGAGGCGGGCTGTGTGGCCAGATGCCGGTGGTGGCTTTGCACCCTCTGGAGAGCAGTACTGCTCAACTTCAGCCACGTGTTGCCAAGAGATCATGGACACCATGCTGCCACCATCCTCCATGCCTAAGAGAACGTTCCGTTCCCAGCTGGGAACGTTCATGTGATCTCCTGTTATTTAAACTATTTACAATGTGTATGATTAAAAATTGTGTGTGTGCCAAACATTTTCTGAGAGCTGCTTCTCCAGAAAGTAGTGTAGAAATAATAAAGCTGCAGGAACCAGCCTAGTTCAAATCTTAGTTTTTGGCTACTGATTAGCTGTGTGACTTGGGGAAAATTCCTAACCTCTCTGTGCCTAAGTTTCACTTCTGGAAAATGGAAATAATGATGGTACCAACATCCTAGGGTTGCCTGAGATTCCAATGAGTAACTCTTAGGATACTGCCTGGTGCATGGAGCACACTTGGCCAGTTTGCCTAGTGCTTTTCCTGCAACCTGTTTTCACTTTCACTCACCGTAACGGAAGCGGGGATTAGAGACCATTTGGGCAGTGGGTTGGGTAAAGAGATGAGGAAATTCAGATTGATGCCAGGCAGGGGAGTCCTAGGCTAGAATCTTTGCTGCCAGCCTGCAAGGCAGGGAAAGGAATTCCTATTTCCCGGGGAGAACAGGAGGGATGTGGGGCAGGGATTCGAACTGTGACCCCGGGGCTTGTGCTGTCCCAGCTCCTGCACAAGAACCAAATCCTGGGGGTAAGTTTCCTGCGGCAGCATCATTCCCCACACTGTTATGGCTCCATCCTGCTCCCCGACAGTCATGAGGGCTTGGCTCCCTGGGTTTGAACTTGGCTCCATTGTCTCCTGAGCAATCCTGGGCAAGTCACCTACCTTCTCTGGGCCTCGGCTGTCTCATCTGTAAAATGGGGTACCTCTAGCATCTATCCCCCAGATGGTTGTTCAAATTAGATGTGAACCACTCAGTAAACATGAGCCTTTATTACCTCACAGCCATTGCCTTGCATGTGTCAGGCCTTCTCCTGCTGCAGGGTCCTCAGCTCTGTCGCTAACGGGATCATGGCTGCGCCTTGCACAGCTCAGTGTGTCAGACAACTCATTCGACCCTGACCTCAGACTTGCGAACTGCACCAGCCTGGCACTTGGCCTTATCTGGAGAACACAGATAAAGATGCAGAGACAGAACACAGAGAGAGCTGGAGGGTGGGGGTGGGGGGGGGGGAGCATGATGTGTGTGCGTCAGAGAAAGATAGGGATTTCTCTTAATCCACCCACAATAAGTAAGGTCCCCCTTTCCCACCTCTATCTCCCTACATTTGTCAGAGAATTTCTCTCAAGGGTAGTTAAGCTGTGATTTGAGGGCAGCAGAGTTCAGGGGCTAGGCCACAGGCTCAGGAGCAGGGTGGGTTTGAATGGTGGCATCACCACTTCCTGGCTGGATACCCCTGGGGAGGCGCCATCACCTCTTTGTGCCCCAGTCCCCGCCTCCGGAATTGGAAGTAATAAATCACAGTGCCTGCTCAGAGTTGTTAGGAAGTCTGAACAGCACAGAGTGCAGGGCCTGGCAACCGCACAGGTCAGGTGTCAGCTACAAATGCTGTTGGTATTGAGTACTAACTGCTTTAACTGCAGCTCTTTCTCCTGTCACTGAGGGCAGCTTGGGGGCTCTTCTCGGCATGGCTGTGTCCCCGGCATTGCAACACAGGGCTGGGCACAGAGCAGGCACTTGGGGGAATGTCTGACTGAACAAATGGAAAAAAAAAAAAGACTGAAAGAAATTTTGAGTGAAACCGACTTACTGAGAGGTGGGGAGAAGGAAGAGAAAGAGAAAATGACGAGAAGCTAGAACAAATTAAAGCACAAAAGGCAGCAAAAGCTCCCTCTGCCCAACCAATTCACTTCACAGAAGGGGAAAGTCAGGCCTGGAAGGGGCAGAGACCAGGCCTCTTCACCTGCTCAGAGAGGTCCCAATCCCTGTGCTTGGCCCCATGCCCGGCTGCCCCCCTCCTGGGTCTGCCCCACTCTCTAGGCCCTGTGAACAGACAGAGGCCACTAGAAAAAACACATGACTTTATTATTCCCAGCACAAAGGGCAGGTCTTTGCAAGACGAGGGGTAAGTTCTGACGGCAGGGAGGAGGCCCCTACTTGCCGGCGATGAGCGGGTTCCGCAGGACCACAATGACCGAGTCCCCGCGCAAGAACATTTTTGAGATGTAGCGGTCCTTGTTGACTGGCTTGGACTTCTTCTTGCCCTTGCCACTCTTGGGGACTTCGGTCCACATCTCCTTCACGTTCTCCAGCACCATGTTGCAGTGCCTGGTGGGCAGAAGGAGGCATCAGGAATTAGAGGGAGCCTCCTGACCCCCTCCTCTGTGCAGCACTGCCACTTCCTCCATCAGCGTGGCATGGGGGAAGGTGCAGGCCCGGGACCAGGATGGCTGGGGCTCCAAGGCCACCTCTGCAAGTCCTCAGCTTGAAGCTTGGGCAAAGGACTTCACTCCTCTGTGCCTCAGTTTCCTCCTCTCTATAATGGAGACATTCATGGTGCCTACCTCCTAGGGCTGTTGTGAAGATTAAATGCATCAATACAGTATTCTTGTCAAGTACTTAGAACAGGGCCTGGCACAGGATAAAGGCAAATGAAATGGTGCTGCTTGTGCTTTTTAACTCTGAGTACTTCTGGTGGCATAAGCAAAGGTACAACTTCTCTTTGGAGAACCAGAGGTCCCTGGGGCCTGAGGCCGGTATATGACGCCTCCACTCCAGTCCTGCTTTCTGTCCCTGTCCTCAGGGTGCTGGGTGGGCACGTGTGACGACAGTATGGATTAGCTCAGTCAACAAACGCTTGCAGTGAATACAACAATGAATAAAAGAGATAATATCCCTGCCCTCATGGGGTCTGCAGTCTAGTGAGGGGAGAAGAACACTAAATAAGTAAACAAAGACACCTGTAATATACTGTCAGGTGGTAGCAAGTGCTATGAAGAAAAATTAAAGCAAGGTAAAGGGATAGGAGGATACAGGGAAATATTACCAAGCATAAGAAAGACGAGGGGGCTTCCCTGGTGGCGCAGAGGTTAAGAATCCACCTGCCAATGCAGGGGACACAGGTTCGGGCCATGGTCCGGGAAGATCCCACATGTTGCGGAGCAACTAAGCCTGGACGCCACAACTACTGAAGCCTCCGCGCCTAGAGCCCACGCTCCACAACAAGAGAAGGCACTGCAGTGAGAAGCCCATGCAGCGCAACGCAGAGTAGCAACGAAGACCCAACGCAGCCAAAAATAATAAATAATAAGTAAATTTATTAAAAAAAAGAAAGATGAGGAAGCTCGTGAGGAGCACATGAGGAAGCTCTGTGCCTTGCTATGCAGTAACCTCCAGGAGATACTGCTGAGTGAAAAAGGCAAGGGAGGGAACAGGATGCATGGAAAGCAACCTTCTGTAGGAAAAAAGTGGGTAGGAAAAACATACATTCCACCACCTGGTTGTGCAATACTAAATCCTTGAAATACACCTAAAGACTGGTGGCAGTGGGGTGACCTAGGTAGACTGGAGACAAACCAGATGGAAACTTTTCATTGGACTGTTATTACTGTTTTGGAAATCATGTGAATATATTACCAATTCAGAGAAAATACGTTAAAAAAAGGAAATAGCATACCAATATGGGAACATTTCCAAGGTATATTGTTAAGTGAAAAAATCAAGGTCTAAACGGCGTGGCATGCCATTAGTAGTGACTTAAAAATAAATAAAAAGCACCCTCCTGTATCTACATGTATGATGTTCTGTGCAAGTAATCCTCCTGGAGGAGACCTGAGAAATTAGCCATGATGGGTCCCCGGGGAGGGCAACTGGTACATGGAGAGGGAAGACTTGCTCTTCATTGGGTGCCTTTTGTATTTTTCAAATTTTGCATCCATCGCTCACTCAAGAAAGTAACATAATTAAGTAAATAAAGTGGTTAAGAATACCCTAGCTAACTTGCAGTGATGTTCTCAGACCACTGATTTGTGTGAAAAAACAAGATGCAACAGAGCACACAGATGATTCTATCTTAAAAACAATATTATGACAGATCAATTATGCCTCAATAAAGCTGTTAACTACCACCACAAGGGAGTCTCTGGGTGAATCAAACATGGCAGGACACATACTAGGGTGGTAGGCTAGGTGGGGAGAGGGATGAGAGGATGATATGGGGGCACAGGAGGAAGCTAGGGGAAAAGGAAAGAGTCAACTTAAAAAATTATATTTATATATATATATATGCACCACCTTGAGCACTTACCATATAGGTACTCACCAGGCCCCTTTAAGCACTTTCTAAGCATTAACCCATCAATCCTCCCTGCATCTCACCCCCAGGAGGTAAACACTGACTGGTTTACTAGTTCTCTCCAGCTTCTAGAGCAGGAAACTGAGCATAGTGGGATGAAGTGACTCACCCAAGGTCACAGAGTCTGGAAGTGGCAGAGCCTGTGTTCGAATCCAGACCTATCTGCCTCCTGTACCCGGCACTTCCTGTTGTTCTCATTCTCATTTTATTCAAGGGGAAACTAAGGCTGAGTGAAAGACTTGTTCATGGTCACATAAAAGCTAGTGGCAAAAGCATTCCAGGAGTAAGTTTCATCACACCACTGTGAGGGAAGCACTTCCCAAATGCTAACTAAAGGCTGCAGGTCATATGTTTACTGAGCATTTATTATGTGTTAGGTACTGAGCCAAGTGCTCTTCATACATAATATCATTTAAGCCTCACAACTGTTCTGAGGGGTATTATTATGATGCATATTTCACAGATAAGGAAACTGAGGCCCAGAGAGGAAAAATCATTTGCTGCTCCCTATGGCTGAAACACTCAGACCCTAGCTTGCACCTTCATTTTATTCATACCTGTCCACCGTTGCGTCTTCCTTTGAGGCCTCCCATGTTATCTACCCAAGACAGCACCTCCTTCCTGGTACTTCAAACTCTTACCTGGCTTTACTTTTCTGCATAGAATTTATAATCACTTGTCTTTATGACATTATTTACATGTTTGCTGTCGGCTTCCCTGCCTACAGCATAAGCTCCCTGAGTATAGGAACCATGTTTGTTTCCATCATTGCTGTATCTCTGGAGCCTAAAACAGTACCTGACCCAGGTGGACGCTCTCATTATGCAATAACTGCAAAAAAACTGATTAAGAGCTCTGGGTGCCAAATGGTCAACTTCTAACGACTTACTACGTTTCACATATGTTAAGTGATTGAATCTTTGCAACCACCATGATTACTGCCACTGTACGGACAAGATAAAGTCACTTGCCAAAGGTCACATGGCTGTTAAGAGGCAGAGCTGGGACATGAACCCAGGAAGACTGGCTCCCAAGTACATGACCATAACCACTGTGCTTCACAGCTGGAGAGACAACGATAGACCACCACATCTTGAGGTCCTGAGATGCTTCTGCCCTGGGCTTCGGACTGGAGCTGGGACTGCTTCTCCAGGCCTGGAAAGAACACCTCCCCAGACCCAGGCGTTTACCTGTCAAAGGCCTTCACACGGCCCAGGAGCTTCTTGTTGTTGCGGCAGTTGATGAGCACTTGCGTGTTGTTCTTGACCGACTGGGTGAGCACGGAGAGTGGCCCTGTGTTAAACTCCTCCTCCTCCCGCTTCTGCAGCTCCTCCGGGGTCATCTCACTCTTGGGCTTGTTGAGGAGGCTCCTAAGTGGGCAAGTATGGAACCCATAGGTGAGAGGGCCCAGAGCCGGAGCCTGGGTGCTCATGGCCTCTGGCTTGGTGTCTCCCTCACACACCCACCCTCCTGCTCGATCCTCTCTCGGCATCACCACTTGGATGCTTAACAGATATTTCCACGCTTCACGTCCTAGGCTGAACTCCAGATCCCCCAATACCCCCAACTTATACTATACTATCCACAGCCTTCCTCATCTCCATCAATGGCAACTCCATCCTTCTAGTTCTTTAAGCAAAAACTCTTAATGTCAACTTGACTCTTCTTTCCTTCTCCCACATCCTATATTCAATCTGTCAGCAAATCCTGTCATCTGCCGCTAAAATATATAGGAATCTGTCCATTTCTTACCATGGCTTAAACCTCCATCATCTCTCTCCTACTGGTCTCGCTGCCTCCATCCACACTCCCCAACAGTTTGCTCTCCACAAAGCAGTCTCGGGGATGGTGCCAAGACTCAAGTCATATATCATCTCACTCTTCAAAACCCTCTCATGGGCTTCCCTGGTGGCACAGTGGTTAAGAATCGCCTGCCAATGCAGGAGACACGGGTTCGAGCCCTGGTCTGGGAAGATCCCACATGCAGTGGAACTAAGCCCGTGCGCCACAACTACTGAGCCTGCGCTCTAGAGCCCGCGAGCCGCAACTATTGAGCATGCGCTCTAGAGCCAGCGAGCCACAACTACTGAAGCCCGCACGCCTAGAGCCCGTGCTCCGCAACAAGAGAAGCCACCGCAATGAGAAGCCCGCGCACCACAACGAAGAGTAGCCCTTGCTCGCCACAACTAGAGAAAAGCCCGCGCGCAGCAACGAAGACCCAACGCAGCCAAAAATAAATAAATAAAAATAGATACATTTATATTAAAAAATAGATATTAGGCAAACTTTCTTCTTGAGTCCCTGCATTTGCTTTTCCCTCTGCCTGGATACCTCCCCAGATATCTCTGTGGTACACTCTCTCACTTTCTTCAGGTTTTTGCTCAAGTGTTGCCTCCTTTATGTGTCCTGTCTCTCAAAAGTAGCGTTCCACATTGTTTCACCCTGCTCTACTGTTTCTTTATTCATAGTCCCGGTCACCTAACACACCACATACTTTACCTGTTTATTACCATTACGTTTACTGCCAGCCTCTTCCCATCCCATAAGATGCAGAAGGGGATTTTCTTCCTTGAGGGAGTGGGGTAATTTACTGAGAGAGCCTATGTGTCTAAAGCAGTCTGATATAGGAGCACTCAATAAATAACTGTTGAATGAATACGTAAGGAAAATCATTCCCGTAACTCGTTATCCGTAAAAATCGAGAATGTAGTTGGAAAGCCAACCGTCTCCAGCTCAAATTATCCGTATAAACCCCTTATCTAAGATCGTTTTTCCTACAAGTCCGTACTCCCCTCTTCCAGGTTCTTTATTCGTAAAAGCGCTTCCCCTTAAAATTCATTTCAGTAAGATTCATTATTTGGGAAAGCCCAGCCCGTTATCAGATAAAGCTGTCCCTCCTCCCGAAGTCAGAATCCGTCAAAGGCCCCACGTCCGTTCTCAAACGCATCAGTAGAAAAGTACGCCACTTAACCCCTAAAATGTTTGCCTCCGCCCCCGGCTCTGCCCATCCCCTTCCACCGGTAAGTGGCCAAATATACACCCTCAACCCCACTCCCGCCACCTAAGCCTAGCCCGGCCTCACATGTTGGCGATGGTGGTGGCCGCACTCTCAGGTCACTACCGTCTCCGCGTTGCCTCAGCCTTCCACAGAGACCGCGACAGAGGCGGGACTTCCGCTTCCTGCGGCCCACTTCCGTGGGCGCCTGCGCAAACCCAACCAGCGGGTGGGGGCGTGGCCAGTTGCCATAGCGATTTCCACCAGCCCTTCGCGGCTGTGGGATAAAAGCTTCACACGGTGATTCCCGGCCATTCAGGACAGTACGGGGCGGATGTTCACGACAGTGGAGAGGAAAAGAAAGCGGGACTGATTCAAACCATTTTGTTGCAGAACCGCACAGGTTCAAGGAAGGAAAGGACAAGCTATTTCCACATGCCCGCCCACCCTGCCTTTGGGGGAGCGGCCTCCGCGAAGCCAATCCGCTCCTCGCTTCCGGGATGGACCCCTCCCCTTTTCCTTCGGAGACTGTTCATTTAAGTGTCTATTGATCTTTTGACTAGGGGTAACCAATCCTTTGCCTACATCCGGGAGGGGCGTGGACCTGCGCCCAGCAGGTCGAATGTTTTCCATGATCAAACGATTCTCATTGGCTTCCCCTCCTCCGCTGAGGCGGTGCCTACCTCTTTCGCGCTCCCTTTTGGGTTGTGCAACCCTCAGGGGAACCAACCCCCAAAGCTCCGGGGAGACAGGGAGGCGTGTCCTCAGAACGAAAGTCCCATTGGCTTTACTGCCCGCGGAAGTGTGGGATGGTGCAGCCGCTCTTGTTGCTCATTGGTCCCGTGATTCCACGGGGTGGGACTTGGCTGGGCCTAAACTCTATCCGCTGTCCCAGACCGGTTTTCAGGGCAAAGCTGCCATGCGTTCCGGGGGCCGCGGGCGGCCCCGGCTACGGCTCGGGGAACGCGGCCTTTTGGAGCCACCCTCACCGCCCAAGCGCCGCCTGCTACCTCGGGCGCAGCTGTTGCCTCTGCTGCTGCTGGCGCTGGCGGTGGCCTCGGTGTTATACACCAGTTGGAGCGGCTGGCACCGCCAGTCTGAGGAGCTGCCGCTAGGCCGGGAGCTGCGGGTGAGGCCGGGAGGGGACGCGGGCACTGCGGGAGCCCTTATTTCCCGCCTCCCCTTCTCCGAGGTTTCAGGTTGACGTGACTTCATCTTTATCGGATTGCCCTAGCCGCAGGTGCCGCCGTCTCCGTCTTTAGAGCACATGCCTCTTTCCAACGGAATGAGGCTTCGGGCTTGTTCTGTAATAGCGGTTACCCCGTAAGAGGAAGGGTCTGGAGCAGTAACACTGGGAGTTCTGGGTTCTAAGCCTAAAGTCATTTATTTGGAAGAGTCCCTTACTCTCGCTGGGCCTCGATTTCCCCCAGCAGGATGGGGGTGGGCTGGGCCGGATGGGCTTGGGGGTACTTTCCCGAGTCTAGGATTTATCCTAGAAACCTCCGATGCTAGAGGCTGCGATTAGGAAGAGGAACTGGGGTTTCTTAGGGACGACAGCTCCCAGGGTAGGGTTGGAATGAGTGTTGCTTTCACGCTCTGCTCTTCCCTTCCCCACCTCCTTCCCAAGGGCCCGTCGATCGGAAGTCTCCCCGAAGCCGGGGTGCGGAGGGTGGTGGGGCAACTGGACCCTCACCGTCTCTGGAACAATTATCTGCGCCCCCTGCTGGTTGTGCGGACCCCCGGCAGCCCTGGCAATCTCCAAGTCAGAAAGGTAAGGGGCCCCACCTCCAACCCCTGACCCCGCAGCCCACCAAGGAAATAGGTATTCTGCCCAAGTGGCAGAGCTAGGGCTCTGGCTGGGCGTAATCTGACTCTAGAGTCCTATCCTGCTAACCATTAGACCATTGCCCTCTTTACTGCCCCCACCAAAATCTTACTATATGCTAAGCATCAGCAACAGCCGGATAAGGTGGGCACCAATCTGATCTTCATTGTGTAGATGGGGAAACTGAGGCGCAGAATAGTTAGGCATTTTGCCCAAATCCCACAGCGAATGAATGATATACCTAGGGTTTCAACCCAAATGGGTTGGCTCCAGAGCAGGTGTGGTAACATCTCTACATTGCCTCTCAGAAAGTATTGAGAGTCATTTGAACACTGCCTGAGTTCAAATCCACATCAGCCACTTGGAGTGTGACCTTAAACTAGTTTCTTAACTTCTCTGTGCCTCAGTTGCCTCATCTGCAGAATGGAACCATTGACAGTCCCCACTCCACAGGGTTCCTAGAACAAGGGCTTGGCACAGAGTGAGTGCTACGGAAGGGTGAGCTGTGATTAGTCTTGGCATCAAGAGACAGGGTCACTCCATGCCTGGCACTTAGTGGGTACTCAGCAGAAGTGTATCAAGGGAACGATTAAACTAAAGTGAGATTTGTGAGTCAACCTGACTGCTCGGCATGGTTCAGGTCACATGGCCCTTCTTTCGACCTTCTCCCTAGTCCCCACCCACTCTCCCACCTCTCTCTTGCCACTAGTTCCTGGAGGCCACACTGCGGACCCTGACAGCAGGCTGGCATGTAGAACTGGACCCCTTCACAGCCTCGACACCCCTGGGGCCACTGCACTTCAGCAACGTGGTGGCCACGCTGGACCCAAGGGCTGCCCGTCACCTCACCCTTGCCTGCCATTACGACTCGAAGCTCTTCCCGTCTGGGTCAGCCCCCTTTGTGGGGGCCACGGATTCGGCTGTGCCTTGCGCCCTCCTACTGGAGCTGGCCCAGGCCCTGGACCTGGAGCTGGCTAGAGCCAAGGAGCAGGTGAGGAGCCAGGGTAGGGTGGGGGTCGGTGGGTGGGGACTGCCTCTGCCTTGGTCCATACCAACACCATCCCGTGCTTGGTCTTGTCTTCCTCCGCTCCACAACACAGCCACAGGGTCTTTCCATTTCCTGAATGTCAGATCCTGTCCCTTCTCTCCCACAGCTCTCACCTTGTTCCACAAGTAAGCCAGAGCCCTTCTCTTAGCCGAGGTGTGCCCTCTCACCTCTCTGGTCTCCCCTCCCACCTCTCACCCTTCACTGACTCCACTCTAGCCTCCCACCTCCTCTGTGTACCTCAAGCCACACAATTCACTCCCACCCCAGGCATTTGCACTTGCTCTTTGCTCTGCCTAGAATGTGATTTTCTCAGATATATTCCTGGCTGGCTGCCACCCTTCATTCAGATGTCCACTTTGATGTCACCTCCTCAAAGAGACCTTCCCAGCCACCCTAAAATAGCTCCCTGTCACTCTCCCATGCCTCGTGGTGCTTTATGTTTATGTCTCCCCAACTAGAATAAGCTCCAGATAGCCAGGCCCTTGGCTGCGTTTATTTCCTGCTGTATCCTCTGGGCTGAGAATATTGCCTGGCATAAAGTAGGATGTCAATAAAAATGTATGGAGGGACTTCCCTGGTGGTCCAGTGGTGAGGACTCTGCGCTTCCAATGCAGGGGCATGGGTTCGATCCCTGGTCGGGGAACTAAGAGCCCACGTGCTAAAACAACAACAACAAAAAGATAAAAACATCAACCCTGTGGGAAAAAATTTTTTGAAAAATGTATGGAATGAATGAACGGAAACACAGATCTCCTCACGCTCCCCTGCTCAGATCTCTTCCATGGCTCAAACCCCAGTGCCCCTGTAACAAAGCCCAAGCTCCCTGGCCCTTGCTGACCCCTTGGGTCTCTACTCAAACCTCTTTGGCCCCTTCTTTGGCCCCAGTCCCGATTCATGTTGCTTCCTCACCGGGGACACTCTTCCCTCTGCTCCATTTTACCAGGCCAGCTCCTACTCAGCCTCCGTGCAAACATCCTTTCCGATAGACCTGACATGTTCCCTAGGCCAGATCAGGACGCTGTTGTTCTTGGAAGCATTTGCCCGACTGCATTTCATCGTTTGTATAATTATTTATTTGTGGGTCTGTCTCTTTTGCTACATGAACTTGAGGAATAACAATTACAATCAGAGCTAACCCTTGTTTAGTTACTATGTGCCAGGCGCTGTCCTAGGACCTGGGTTCGAATCCTACCCTATGATGAGGACTGGTATTAACCCCATTTCTACATAAGGAAGCCGGTGCTTTGAGAACTTAGTAACTTACCCACGACTGCTTGGCTACTGAGCAGCCCAGCCAGGATTTGAACGCAGGCAGTCTGGCTCCAAGTCTGTACTCTTGGCCACCGTGCTTTTCGAGCGAGAAGACTTAGTTTGCCCTCGTCAGCTGTGCAAGCAGGCAGGAAATGTGTGTGCACTGAGGCTGAGGGCTGGCACTGCGCTGGCCCTGACCACTGGCCCTCACAGGCAGCCCCAGTGACCTTGCAGCTGCTCTTCTTGGACGGTGAAGAGGCACTGAAGGAGTGGGGACCCAAGGACTCACTTTACGGCTCCCGGCACCTGGCCCAGCTCATGGAGTCTGCACCCCACAGCCCCGGCTTCACCAGGATCCAGGCTATTGTAAGACCAGGCCCCACTGGGTTCCGATGAGGTGGGAAGCGGGTGACACGAGGCTGGCAGCATCCCGCCTGGCCTCTCCAGTCCTGGCCTCTCTCCCTAGGATCTCTTTATGCTTCTTGATCTCCTGGGAGCCCCCAACCCGACCTTCTACAGTCACTTTCCTCGCACGGCCCGCTGGTTCCATCGGCTGAGGAGCATCGGTAAGGAGGCAGGCACCCACCTGGGACGCTGGAGGGAGGCCAGGCACCTGTCCTCTAAGGGGTCATCCGGCCTTCCCTCTACCTCCCTAGTCTCTCTCTAAAGCACTAGGACAGAAACACAAAAAGACCCCACAGCAGTCAAATGAAGTGATTACAAACGGGGGCTCTGGGGTCAGATAGCCCTGGGTTCAAATTCTGGCTCTCTTTCTTACCAGCTGTGTGAGCTTGGGCAAGTGGCTTCCTCTCTCTGAGCCTCAATTTCCTATCTGTAAAATGGGCATGATGGTAATAATAGGGGTATCTACCTCTTTAGACTCAGAGGGATTAATTGAGACTGGGAACATCGTTGGCCTGCGGTAAGGGGTAACTAACATTCATCCTTGTTGGGACGATCAGTGCTTCGCCCCCAGACCCCCGGCCCTCCTCTGATTTGTGAGCAGGGGAACCTTTGACCGTTGAGGGGCTGACCCTTGCTCTCTAATCCCCACCGCCTCCAGAGAAGCGCCTGCACCGTCTGAACCTACTGCAGTCTCATCCTTGGGAAGTGATGTACTTCCAGCCCGGGGAGCCCCCTGGCTCTGTGGAAGACGACCACATCCCCTTCCTCCGCCGAGGTACTTGCAGTGGGGAGGAGTGGTGGGCAGGGGTCCCAGGGAGCCACAGATACGACCTGGCCCTGGCCCCTTCCCAGATTAGGGAAGGTGGCAAACTGCTTAACCTCTTTGTGCCTTGATTTCCTCATCTGTAAGGATGGGGATGATAACAGCCTCCACCTCATAGTTGTTGAGGGGATTGAATGTAAAGACCTTGGACCAGTGCCTGGCACTAGCAAGTGTTCAAGAAATGTTAGCTATTACTGGTTGTGCCTCAGTGATTGCAGTTTCTTCTAGTTCCTGCCTCTCAAGCCCTCGGCCACCCAGCATAATCACCTGAGCTTCGAAAAATGCCCAGTCACGTTTCAGGCCTGCTGAACCACAATCTGGGGCCTCTACATTATTTTTACAAAACTCCCAGGTGATTCTGATGCACAGCCAGGGTTGACGACATCTGGTAGAGGGGTTCAAAACATAGGTTTTAGACTTGGATAGGTCTGGGTTCTACGATCTGCAGCTTACCATTGGTTGACCTAAGGCAAATTACTGAGCCTCTCTGTGGCCCCATTTCTTCTGGAAAAGGAAGAGATAGATACATACAAACACATACATATGTATGTATTCTTTTTTTTCTTCATATGGCAGTTTTATTTTCAATTTTTTGAGGAACCTTCATACTGTTTTCCATAGTGGCTACACCAAATTTATGTTATGTATTCTTAATCACAGGGTTGGGAGGATTAGATGAGATTAGATATATAAAATGCCTTCTTACACGGTGCTTGGCATATACAGTTAGTGCTAAAAACTGCTTTTTAAATTTTTATTCTATAATTTACTCATTCAACAAATATGCATTTCTTACAATGCCTTTATTGATTCATTCACTGAATACTTCCCAAGGCAGGTACTGAGCCAGCTGTCAGGGATACAGTGACGGGCCATAATCCACCTGGCTCCTGTCTAGCAGGGGGACAGATATTTACCAAATCTGGACAAACAAAGAGTGAAACACTCTGAGGACAGGAACCCAATGCAGTGCAAGGGTTAGGAGCACACACTCTGGAGACATGTGGCCTGGGTTCAAATTCTGACTGTGCTCTTTACTAGAGGCGAGACCTTAGGCAAGTCACTCTGCCTGCCTCTGTGTCTCAGTGTCCACATCTGTAAAACAGAGGTATTATAGTACACCTTACACGATTATTGTAAGGATAAAGTTGTGTGTGTTTATGGCCTTAGACTCGGGCCTGGAATAGAACATAAATGTTAACTATCAGTAAAGAAGAGAAAAAGAGCCTAATAATGTACACCCGGCGAGGAAGGTCAAAGACCTCCTTCCCTTCTTCTGTCTTTCCATAATCCGTTAAGTTTTGAGTTTTTCTAATTTGCGTTATGAAAATAATATACTGGATGTATTTTTAAAACGGACATGTACCCTCACACACTGAAAATCATTGTTCAGAATTCTTCAAGTGCCACAACAGAGTATCTTCTGCTGCGGGGGACAAGACAAGGTTCCCCAGACACGGGCCTGGGCTCCTGGGTCGGTTGGGGGCCACGCACAAGCCTGAGCCTCCTCTCTGTCCTGCAGGGGTCCCCGTGCTCCACCTCATCTCCACACCCTTCCCCTCTGTCTGGCACACGTCCGATGACTCTGAGGCCAACCTGCACCCACCCACGGTACACAACCTGAGCCGCATCCTGGCCGTGTTCCTGGCCGAATACCTGGGGCTATAGCCTGCCTGGCGGACTCTGAGGGAGAAGCACCCAGCAGCAGATGTGACGAGGGCACCTGGAGCCGAGGAGCTCGGGCCAGGCCTGCTTGCGGTGTGCTGGCTTGTCCTTTTGTAACACCTTTGGCTCTGCTTGTGCTCTGACTGGAAGACCCTCTTTCTTTATCTCAAGCTGCCACTCTTCAAAGACATGGAAGAGACAGACCACTGTGGTGTGAGAGCCAAAGGAATAAGAGCTTGGCCGCTGCCCTGAGGGAAACACTTGGGCCGCAGGTCTGCAGGGGCCAAATGCCGTTCTCCATTTTAGTCAGCAAACGGCATCTGGACCAGCAATACCCCTGACCAAATGAATTCTCTGTGGCTTATGTTTTTGTGGCAGTTCCTTCTCCAGAATGGCAGCCTTGCTACCGCATCAGTCCAAACCCAACTCCCACATGGATGTGCCATGGGGAGCCCACAGAAGATGTGCTCGTAAGCAGGGAACAGAGGAGATGGAAGCCAGTACTTGGGAACTCCAGATTCTGCCAGATCCAATGGCCAATAAACCAGTGTTTCTGCAAAATATATCCTGTAGAACTAGCATACATAGGTGTTGCATGAAAAGGGGGACCAAAGTGGGGTGAGACAACATTAAATGAGCTTCTTCATTTGCACAATGTGAATTTTCAAGAAAGAGAATGCAATGTTTCCCCAAAGTATTTCACCACGGAACCCCTTTATTGGGAAGCACCTCACAGAACCATGGTACCTCAGAAGATACTTTGGGAAGCACTGGGTTTTGACAGTTTTGAGTGTACTTATGGTAGAAATGGGTCAACTAGTTACACCAAACCATCCTTTCCCTTTTGGCTGTGGGTACAGGAGTGGGAGATGGTGTGTGTAACTGCAAACTCTAGTGATGACCCAAGAGATTATTTCCCAGTCCTAATTTTCAGACCCAACTGGGGTGCTTATTAAAAAATGCGGGGAATTCCCTGGCGGTCCAGTGGTTAGGCCTCGGCACTCTCACTGCCGGGGCCCGGGTTCAACCCCTGGTCAGGGAACTAAGATCCCGCAAGCTGTGCAGTGAGGCAAATAAATAAATAAATAAATAAATAAAATGCAGACTCCCAGGTCCCACCTACTGAATCAGAACTTCAGAGAGGGGCTGGGACTCTGTAACAAGCACCTGAGGAAGTCTCATGATCAGCAAAACTTTGGGACATGCTGTCCTTAAAGATTCAAGTTTGGTTCATTCACAGCTCCCTAGCAAACCTAAAGGGCACCCAGACAGGAAGTCCCGTGTTGGGCTCTGTACCTGCTGATTTCGTGACTTCGATGGAGACCTGGTAGGCCACAGGGATGCCAGGCCAGGATGCAGGCTTAGAGAGTGAAGGTGAACAGCAGCCATGCAAGCCAACTCAAGGCTGGCGAAGACTCGAGAGAACTCACGGGCTGAAGGACAACTGCGGTTCTCATTTTGCAAATGAGGTGGCCAGGGCTGAGAATTACAAACCGGTTATTAACAGAGCCCAGATGCTCACCCACAGCTGTGCTCCTATCCCCATGTCCTACCTCCCTTCCAAAAATCACCTGTGCTGGACCAACAGATTGTTGGTCAAAAGTAGCTCCTCCTGAGGCTTTTAACTGGCTGCAAGTCTGAGTGAGGTTTGGGCGGTGGGGACTCACAGCCTCTTAGAGGTGGAATTGGCAGAAGTTGAGTTCAGAAAGGAAATGGACAGATATCAACAGCCAGGGTGGCAGGAGGGTCTCAAATCACAAAGTTAGTTCCTGTTTGTTCATTTCTTGTGTGGCAGGCATGGTGCCAAGCACTCAAAAGTGCAGCACGTCCCCTTAGCCTCACAGCCATCCCAGAAGTAGGTGAAACCATCACCTCTGTTAGGGGAAGCAGGGTGTTCAGTGACGTCCTTGGCCCCTTGCCTCTCTGCAGGTCATCGTGCTGAGTGTACTACACGCCAGGTTCTGGGCAAGGCGCCTGGGCACGTTTTCCACTTGAATCCAGGGTAAGGATCGTGAGCCCCATTTTACAGATGAGGCTGCTGATGCTTGGCAAAGTGATGTTTCCCCCAGCTCCCATCTGTCCCCCAAACTTAGGCTCCCCCAGCTTCACACTATGAAGAGGCCATGAGGTGTCTTTGGTGAGCACAACTGTTGAACATTCTAGATGCAAGAGCTCACATGTCAGTCTTTTGAGGAACTGTCAGTATTCTCATTTTTCAGATTAAGAAACTGAGCTTCAGAGAAATCAATTGCTGAAGATCACAGCTGGACACTTTCACTGCATGTGTCTAGGTATTCATTTCTTTTTATTTATCCTGCCTATGACTCACTGGGCATACCGGTCTTTTTACCAGTCTGGAATTTGCAATCATCGTGTCCTTAAATATTATCATTGCACCATTCTCTCTTCTGATTCTAGAACGCCAGTTAAATGTGTTAGACTTCCTCACTCTATCCTCCATAACCTTGCTTCCTATTTTCTTTCTTTTTTTGGTCTCTGTGCTACTTCAGACCTAGCTTTAGTTCAATAAATCTTTTTAAAATTTGATTTATTTGATTTATTTTATTTTTGGCTGCGTTGGGTCTTCGTTACTGCGTGTGGGCTTTCTCTAGTTGCAGCAAGCGAGGGCTACTCTTCGTTGCGGTGCGCGGGCTTCTCATTGCAGTGGCTTCTCTCGTCGTGGAGCACGGGCTCTAGGCGCGCAAGCTTCAGTAGTTGTGGCACGCGGGCTCTAGAGCGCAGGCTCAGCAGCTGGCACAGGCTTAGTTGCTCCGTGGCATGTGGGATCTTCCCAGATCAGGGCTTGAACCCATGTCCCCTGCATTGTCAGGCAAAGGATTCTTAACCACTGCACCACCAGGAAAGTCCCTCCCTCAGCATCTAAAACATCTTCTCGGCAGTGTTCTGGGTCAGCCTTACCTGAGCTTGTAGTTCGGTGGGATCCCACCTCCTATTAGATTCACCTTGGACAGGCTTTGACCTTGACTTCTGCCTGCTTGTCCCAGTAAGGCTACAAATAGGAAATCCAAGTTTGTTCACATCAGCAAATACCCTCAGAGCAAAAGTGGCTTCAGGGCCCCATGGGCCTTTCCCTTAAATTTTTGGCTTAGTATATCGTTAACTGTATTTTATTGAATATTTGATGCTTTTCAGATTTTTTTTACTTCTGGTTTTCAGCAGGAGAGTCCAAATAATCTGGCCTTCCCGCTATAGGAAACCAAAAATCCCACAAAACCAAGCCAAGATCCAAACCCAGGTTTCTTTGATTCTAAAATCTAAGTATTTAATAACTGCTATGATATAGCCTAGTCTCTGGAAATTTTGATTCCTTGATAAGAATGTCAGAGACTGTTAGCCACCGCTCAATATCCATTTTTCCTTCTTCTTTTAGTAAATAATTATCTGAATATTTTAAAGCTTTAATTACAGGGATCTTTAGCAAGAGTTTTTTGTTGGGCATAATGCATCCAACTAAAGGATTGCATTTCCCAGTCTCCTCTGCAGCCCTTCCACGTGGCTAAAGTTCTGACCAGTAAGATGTGCACAGAAGCACACTGTGGTACTTCTGGGAGGCAAGGGACTTCCTTTCCTGCAAAATGGTGATGGGTGGAGTTCCAGCAGCCATCTTGGACCATGAGGATGAGGGCCACAGCCAAAGAATAATGGAATAGTGGGCTAGAAGGAGCCTGGGTTCCAGATGAATTCAGGTCCACCATACCTGCCAAACACTGGGTTTCTAAAGAAATAAAAACTACCTTGTTTGAGCGTCTACTATTTTGAGGTTTTCGAATCCAAAACGACACAGATGAAGAGTCAAAAATAATCTCAGGCTAAGGGACTCGGCTAAGGATTCTTCTCTCAACTTTTTCCATTTCACCATGCACTGGCCCATGACTCCCTTCTCTCCCAAACCCCTTCCCTGAACAACACACAAACCAGTCTGGGCCCAGCCTTATAAATACTGATTTTATAGAAAGGACCAATTCAAAATTGGTCAGATGCCACACATTAGAAGCTTTCCAGAACCACAAGGATGAAAAACTAAAACCAAGACAAAACAACAAAAAAACAAAAACACATCTCAAACAGAACAAACAAAAAATACCCCAGATCAAACTGCCTGAAGGTCAAGGTCTTGGTTGACCAAAGCCTTCTAAAGAAACACATGTGGATGGGGGGTGGAGAGACCCCAACACCTGAACAAGTACCCAGAGTAGAAGGAAAAACAACCCAGAAATTCAAAGCCACAGTCCCTGCCCACCGGCCCCCGACGCTGTCCAGAGCGAGGCAAAGGGCTTCACAGCTTTTTTGCAGGGGGGAGGGGGGAGAGTCATGGCAATAGCTTAAATATTGGGAGGAGGAGAATTTTTACACTTCAACTTTTTTCTCCTCTTCCCCTTTAGGGGAAGTAGAGAGACTGGTAGCTTGAGGTTAAGGAGAAAACTGATTTTTATTGTTTTAATGGGGAAATGGCAGGCGGCCATGAAAACTGCCAAATGTGATCTTTGATCTGATGGCCCCAGTTCCTAAAGAGGAGGTGAGCCCTGGTGTAGTAGGCTAGGAAGGGTACCAACCCTGGGTGCTGCAGCCTCCTGGGGAAAAAAAAACAGCTCCAGAGGGAAAGAACTGAGGGGAGGGAACGGAAGGGGGCCAGAATGGGGGAACCCTTAAGTAGTACCAAAATTAGCTGCCGTCTGCTCCCTGCTTGTAGGTCCCTGGGGTATGAAGAGTGGCAGGGAGGGCGCTGGGGCTGAATGGAGAAGAAATTGAGATGCTGATAAAAAAACACCCTACTTGAGGGTCCGAAGAGTAGAAAACCAGTAGGGGTCAAACAGAGTGCTTTCTTGGGTCATCCCCCTGAACACCATCGCAGTTCTGGAGGGGGATCAACGCTGCCTGGGCAGAGGGTATGGGCTGGTGACCCAGTCCTGACCCTCGGCTCCCAGGGGGAGGGGGTGGGGGTGGGCATGGTGGGCTCTTCCCCCCCCCTCCCCCGGCTTCACCTCCCCTCCTCCCGGCCAGCCCGGCCGCCCCCACCGCCTGGCCCATTGCAGGGCAACACCCAGTTGTTATCGTGCAGACCCAGGCGGCAGCCGGGCGTCTCGCGATCGGCTCGGCGGCAGCACATCCAGTAGGAACGTCCATAAGGCAGGTCGTGGTGGTAGGGCTTGGGGTGCCAGCGGCAGAGCGACACATCGCCCTTCTCGTATCTCTTGCGGCACTGCTTGCAAGGGTCATCGCGGTAGAGCGGGTCGCGGCTCCAGCGCGAGTCTGTGGCCCGCACGCCGAAAGCCTCAATGATGCCCTTGAAGTGGTGGCAGGTGCACTTGAGGGCCGCCAGGGCGCGCGTGGGCAGGAAGCTGAAGATCTTGACCAGCACGTGCTCAGGCAGCAGCAGCATGTACTGTCGCGGCTCCAGCAACCGCTGGATCTTGAAGCGGATTTCCAGGAAGTCGTGCGACACGTGCCGGTACAGGCGGCACAGGGAGGTGTCCACCGTCCCCTCAGCATCGTCCGGGCCGGGTGCAGTGGCGGGCGAGTCAGTTGGCGGTGGCTCGGGGGGCCCATCAGGTCCCCGGGGCTGAAGGAAGAAGAGCTGGCCAGGCGGGGGTGGCTCCTCGGGGCTGACGGTCAGGCACACCGTCTCTTCCTTCACGTTTTTGGTGCCATCCTTGCCGAAGAAGATGCACTCATCCACCACCCCCGTCACCACCACATCCACATGGAAGCCTGACGCGCCACAGTCCCGGGCAGGGGGTGGAGGGGGGGCCGGGGGAGTGTCCTCGGGCCTGGCAGGGGCTGGGGTCTCACCCTCGCTGGCTTCATCCGCCCTAGCCAGCAGAAACTCCACATTGCTGGGGAGGGCATCCCGAGAGGGGCTGATGAGCTGGTACAGGTCGCAGGTGATCTTGTCCTTGGCCCGGGCCCCAGGACCCGGGCTGCCAGGGTAGGCACAACCCGGCCGGCCCCCGCTCCCGTTGGGCAAGCTGCCATCCGGTGCACGGGGCTCTCGGCTATTGGAGATCCGAAAGGCGATGCGCACCTCCCCAGGGCCTGGCCCAGGCCGCTCCTCCTTGCGGAGGCCTTTGGCTGGAGGGTTGTCCCGCTGAGCCTCGAAGTGGGCCACGGCCTCCGCCACACGGCTGCAGTCCCCGCCACCAGACCGCCGTTCGGACCCCAGCCCCTTGGCAGGCCCACCCTGTTCGGCCGACACATAGACCACAGGCGCTGGGGTGCTCGGGCGCGGGTAGCTCTGCAGGGCCAGGGCGGCCCGCTGTTCCACCAGGGCCACCATCTCGGCCACAGAGAGCAGGTCCACATCCTCACTGGCTGAGGCTGGGACCCCCTCAGCAGCAGGGGGCCCGTCTTGTCCCCCTGGGTCCGGAGGAGCCTTCGTAGGCTCAAGACAGCGCCTCCTCCGCTTGGCCTTGGAGCTGTCACTGCCCCAGTGCCCCTTGACCTTCATGGAGCTGGCCCGGCTGCCTCCACCGCACTGGTGGGCCACAAAGAAGGCCACCTTCTCCTTTGTATTCCCGGGCTTGATAACATACCACGTGTCCAGCAGGACTCGACCCTCGTCGCCGGCAGCCGCTGCTGAAAGGAGCGGGGCAGGCTGGGAGGCAGGAGCCTCCGTGGCCAAGGCTGGGGGTGTGTTTTCTGAGTGGGCAGGGCCATGGTCTGGCTCCGCCCCCCCACCTGGCTCAGGGCAGGCTGACGGCTTGAGGGCTGCGGAAGGCGGGCGCGGCTGGTTCTGGGAGTAGGTGCCAAAGGGCCGGGGGCACCACAGCTGGAAGGGAAGGAGGCCCCCTCGGTCCATTCTGGGGAATGGTGGCAGACAGGCGGGGGTTCACCACATCTCAGGACCTGAATGGCGGTGGGGGGCTCCACAGGCCACCTGGAGACAGGGAAGAGGAGGCTGGGGAGCTGGGGAACGGCCTGCCCTCCCAGTACCCCACTGACCTCAACATCTCCTGACCTGAGGGGACAGACCAAACTAGACCACTGAGATCCTGTTCCCGCCCCCCTGGCACAGGTGAGCAAATGGAAGGCTGCAGAGGGGATAGGACCTGCTCCTGTAAAACTCAGAGTGTGACCGGAGCTGGTAGTTTGCTCCAACCCTCCGCTGTCTCACAGCCTGACTGGTTTCACTCACGATCCAGAGGTCTCCTGCTGCCATAACTTTTTAAACAGAAATGAAAGTACCAACTGACAGCTCCTCCTTTTTCTATTTGCTCACCTAGTAACAAGTTCCTGAAAAGACAAGAATTCCCAGCCCTGCCCACAGCTACTGCGGCTTGAGCCCAGAGGAAGCAACAAGGTAGGCTGGGCAGGGGAAGAAAATCAGAGGTCGGAGACAGAGAGGTCCTTAAGAATTCAGCTCCTCGCTTTGCTCGGGTCGTGAGGCTCTTGAAGGATCCCTTAAAGCTGTGTATCCTCACCCAGAAAAATGCACACACTTGCACCAAGACTGTGCAGGTAATTCCCTTAAGCACAAACGCAGACCCCTGGGATGAGAAGGCCCTTCTAGTCTAGTTTCCTCAAGTT